CGCAGTCTACTGGAGGCTAGATTACAGCGCCAAAGAGTTATGCTACCAAACCAAAGGCTTGTTGTTGTTGTCTCTCTGTGGTATTCACAGGCTGCTGTTTATGCCAGAGCTGGCTGCTTTACTCAGGTGCTTCCCTTTACTAATTAAACACAGCCAAGTGGCCTGCAATCCCTCTTCCTCCCCAGCAGCTTGGTCAGACTTGGAAAATCATCCTCACGCTTTAGACTGATGTGGCACCACTTAGCCTGAAGGAGTCCAATGCAACTGACAAACTATAGGACTGTTTTACGTTGGGAGCAACCAAAGGCCTCAGTCGGGATTGGAACACCGTTGTGCTGGGACACGGAAGAGAATACAGCCCATGCCCTAAAGACTCGACATCTAAATAATCAAGACAGATTAAAAGTGCGGGAAAGGGACATAACACAGAGAATGAGCAGAGTGATGGTTGGCACCGCAGGGTTTTTTATTGCTATTTTGGGGGCCAGAGTGGATGGGAGGTGACAGGTGAGGGGAAGAATTAACAGAAGCATAGGAGTATGGAAACAAAGGAAGGCAGTGAAGGGGAAGAGAGGGAGAGGTTTATGGTGGGCGGTGGAGGGACCATGAGGGGGAGATGTGTGGGAGGAGAAAGCTGAGCCTATTTCTCATCTCCCACCAGTGAAAAGCAGGAGTCACTCCACTGACCTGGTGTGAAACTGGTATAAGCAGAGGAGAATCAGCACTTTTATACTTACAGACCTGCTGAGGGCAGCCACCAGCTGGAAAGAGAACAGCCAGTACATTGCAAAATACCCCACAGAAAGGGAGAAAGTTTGGCCAAGGACATGGGGCAAAGATCTGTCACTTACACGCAATGGTCCTTGAGATCTTTAATGTCCATGCAGAAAAGAATGGACCTGGGCTTGTAAGGTCTTGTCTGAAAATCCCACGCACAACGGCATGGAACTCAGCAGACAGACCCTCAGCTGATGCAATGCGTGTGGCTCCCCGGACTTCACTGGAGCTAGGACTGCTTACGCCAGATGTGGATCTCACCTATGTGAACTTATATGAACTAAGCAGCGGTTCAGTTCCATTCTGCTGTAATCTGCATGCACTTGAAAGGCCCTTCCGGCATCAGACTCATCTGACTGGTGTAGTAAGGGTCTGATCCAGAGCGATACTGAGTACTGGCAGCTCCCAACGACATGGGGGTGCTCAGTGCTTCTCAGGATCGGGTCTTATGTTGTTTGTCTCAGTGAAACAAGCTGATGAAGAAAAACAACAGGGGGTTGCAAGAATGTATAGTTTACAAAGACTAACTTAATAACGGCTGCTAAAAACACATCACCAACTGAGATGGAAATAACAGCTGTGGGCCATTTGACAAATGCGGCTTTTCTTGGAGGTTTGCTGATTTGGTGCTTTTTTATTATTTTGTACTCCCATTCCCTGCTAACTAAGGTCACTCTTTCAGAAGCACTGGTGGGGGGGCAGGCTGCTGTGCCACCACCTGTCTCTTTAGGACACGGCTGCCCATTGTGCCGGCTGCACACCGCCATTTTGGAAAACTTCCCTCCACTCTCTTCCTTCCTCTTGGTTCAACCACACCAGTCAGGGCCCAATGCCCCTGCTCCTTCCTGCCTTCCAAGCCATAACTTGGAAACGTATCACTCCTGGCGTTACAACTCTCTAAACTGGCAAGCCCGGCATGAGGGAGCATTTTTTCAGGTGCCCACAGGTTCCTTGAGGTGCCCTACTTCTGACGTCACCATGCTGAAAAGATGTTCTTAAAACTGGAGCTATGACAATTTCCACTATCTATATAACACCCCTAGCTGTTTTTCATATTTTGGTGGATGCCATACAGTACCTGTCTGCCTGTATGCCGTACTCATGTCTCTCTGAAGCAAACCCTGATGTCCTTCTTGAGTCTGGATTCTGGCAAATATTCATCTAATAATGACCCAAGGATGCCAAGCAGAAGACCGCGATGGCAATGGATTTTGTCTACACTTCGAAACGCCCGACTCGCCCTCGCTAAAGATTCGGTGGCTAGGTTTCCTCCCACTTTAAAACCAAAACATCATTAAGATACACACCTTCCACCTTCCGCAATGGATGCGGTACTAGTCCTACAGGCAGCTGCCTCCACTCCGTGATCCCGAGTCATCCTCAGCGCACAGGCCAGCCAGTTTACCGAATGAGGCAGGGGCCCTGGGAAAAAAATAGCACGGGCTCATGTAAGGAAAGACTGTCTCGTAATGCATATGCACGGTTCTCTCTCATAGAGATAGCAAAGATAACTGGTAAAGCCTGAAGTCCATTCTCAGTCCTTCCTCGGGCAAGGCACAGGCACACTGTCACCAGGCACAGGTAAAAGTCTTCTGGATAATGCGGTCAACCAGCATCGATCCACACCGGTCCCTTTTTGCCATGTCTTGAGACGGCGATGAAAATGGCTTCTTTAACCTGGTCCCACCCAGTTGAGACACGGGACACAGCTTCAGGGTGATAGCTCCATTGAAACATAGGCAATCCATAATAGGAGAAACGGTCTCCCTCACCCCTTCTCCATAGCCCAAGTTCTTTGTCTCAGTACCTTTGCCCCTCACACAGAACCATGCTTGCTCTTGCCAGTACAGACTCACCAGTTCAGGAGGGCGGGTTGATGACAGGCTGCATTGGGCTAACCGGTTGAATGTTCAAGGGAGTTAGCGTGCCAGGGGATCCTCTAACTCCATAGGTGGTAAACCAAGGCCTAATTTATGGCCATTGTGACCTTCAGCCCCCCTTTGACATTTGCAGATCAGCTCCATTCTGTGTGAGACATTAAAGCTCTTACAGTAATAGGCTTTAAATCACTCTGCACTACCAGATGATTGGCTGGGTTTGATGAATGGGTCAGAGGTAATAATTCACTGAGGTTATTGTGTGGGCTGCTTGCTGGCTATTTGACATTTATAAATCAGCTACATTTTTCTGCACTGCTCAGTGCATACAAATCACTATAGCTAATCTGAGAGAGGCACTTCAGTTCAGCCAAGAGTGGCTTTGGGCATCCTTGGCCTTTGTTTTGACCTGAACTTGAATAAACCTAATCAAATCTAGTTTTACTGACAGCCAAGTTCCTCTACCACCACCCGAACGGACTGGCGGCGACTGGAGGGGACTGTGCAGGAGCATGGCTCGTTTGATGTCAGACTCTGCCTTCCTTTACTCACACTGAGTAGTTTACTGCACTAAAGTCACACCAACAACTCAAGGAGGCTGAAGTCAGTGGGCTGATTCTGAACTCAGGGACACCAGAGTAAATCAGGAGCAGCGCCAGTAAAGTTGATGGAGTTATATGAGTATAAAACTGGGGTACGGAGTAAGGGCCAGATTTGTAAAGGTATTTAGATGCCAAAAAACCATTGGTTTAAATGGGAGTTAGACACCTAGATGCGTTTGAACAGCCCAGTAGGTACTACCTGACATATCAGGTGCCCAAATAGCGTTAAAAACCTGGCCGTAAGGCATTACTCAATGTGGGTAAGGGTGGCAGAGCCGGCCTGTGGAGAATAAAAATCAAAGTCATGCTGTATTAAAAAAAAGTCCTCCTGGAAGTAGCAGGCCAGGTCCTTAACCTACCAAGTCAAACCACATGATTTGTTTTATGTTGCAGCCTCTCTCTCTTCCCCAACTATTAGCGTCTAGCTCCGGTCCCGATCCTACAAACCATCAGTACCAGACATAGTCCATACTATGATAATTAGCCCCCTCACTTGTTATTCCAACTTACAAAAACATCTCCTTGTGGGTTTTGCCTTACCATAGTGCCAAGTGGCTCGAATCAAGGCCCTGGGTAGGCCCCATTGTGCTGTGCATCATTAGGTCCAAGGTGAGACATCCTTACTCACAGCAAACAGTCCCGTTGAATTCAACAGGCCTGCTCATGAGGCAAGAGCCTGCTCTAAAGCGCCTGAAAGCTGGTCTGTATTATCAGCAGGCCCTGCCCCAAATTTCTCACAATCTAGGATATGCACAGATGCAAAAGGTGCCTAAGGAACACACGCAGCAGGAGGACAAGGTAATGTGGTGCAATAAGCAGCAGTCTCAGGTTGGCCAGGCAGGTGGTGGATACCTAATGCCAGCTCCTCCTAGCCCCCCCTTCAAGGTGTACACTGACACACATTCGCTCCACATTGTAAGCTGTAAGAAAATCGATTCTGCAATTTCTCTTTGCAGAAACCAGGTGAAAATAAAAGCTTTTCCTCCTGCGCTGGATTGGTTTGCTGAGTTTTTGGAATGGTCACAACCCCCAGTGTAGCTGCAGACGGAGTTTGTCCTGACGGTGTAGGAATACCACTACCCCAAACAATGGGAAGCGTTTGTCCATCGATAGCTGCAGCTCCATGGGAGGGGAGGGGGAGTTAGGTAAGCACAGTTACGGCGCGCAATGTGTGGCTTGTGCACAGCCCTGACCTACGTCGCTGTGGTTACCTAACTTTTCATGGTAGCCCCAGCCTGGGTATCCAAAGGGTCGAAGTGCTGGGGCACCCTAATGTTACAGCCCTGGCATGTGGCGGGTCAGCACCTCAGCTGATGTAAATGAGTGTTGCGTCAATAAAGTCAAGGGCCTGGTGTAGCATTCAGCCCACTGGGGACCTTCCCCAGGACAGGCTAGGGCAGTGGCTCCCACCTTCAGGAAACCAGCCTGCCATATGTTGTTAAAGGCCCATTTTCCAAGCACCATCCCCAGCTTCTCCCCCCAGTCCCCTTCAGGAAATGCTGCTCTCAGAGCCGCTCTCCAGCCCACGGGGCAATGCCCAGCCCTGCAGATGGGCCTATAAATAAGAACCCAGGCAAGTGTAGGGGGTAGCTGGATGAGAGTCAGAGGGAGGCGCCCCCTACACAAAAAAAGCCTGGAGGCTGCAGGGGCAGGATGTGTTGGCCTTGCCTGAGCCAGTAGCAATGCACAGCACCGAAAACGCCAGCGACGGGGCTGCGAGAAGCCCGTTCCCCTGCCGGGGAAGTGACTGAACACGCACAGAAGGGGTGGGGGGCTGCGGTTCGGGAGGGCCCCTTGGTTCTCCACCCACCCCATTAAGCTAAACCAGCGAGCGGCAGGAGGCGGGGAGAACCAGAGCGAGCGGCAGGATTTCCCCAGGATCTCTCCGGCGGCGGCGGCAGCGGCAGCAGCCCCCAGGCGCCCGAGCGCAGGACCGGGCGAGCTCTCCCTGGCGGCCGCGAGCCAGCGGCGAGCGCCCGGTGCCGCGGGGGACCGCTTGCTGCACCGCAAGTAAACGGCCGCCGCTTGCGCTCGGCTCCGCGCCTCCTGCCGGCTCTCCGGCCGCACCCGGCCTTCCGCGGCGGGGTGCGGGGCTCCGGGCCCCGGGGTGCAGCAGGGGCGGTTTGCACTTTGCAAACGCACGGGGGACACCCCACCACCACCACTCTCCGGGGGGGGGGCTCTCCAACACTGAGCCCCGGGTCCCGGTGGGCTCGCCAGGGGGAGGCGGGGGGCAGTCGCCTGCCCCGTGCCCCCGTCGTGGCTGCCGGGCGTGTTGGGGGCGCAGCAGGAAGGAAGCGTGGTCAAGCCAAGCACAGTATGGGGGAGGGGGGGGCACCAACCCCCAACGCGGCTCCGCTTCACTCCTGGCGTGGCCCGGCGAGGCAGCCCGGGTTCGATCCGTGCCCCCGCTCCCCCGGCGTGCGGAGAGCGAGGCGAGGGGGGCTGGGCTGGGCTGGGCTAAGTTTGCCCGTCCCCGTGCACCGAGCACAGGGGCGAATTGGAGGCGGATCCGTGCGGGGCGGAGACGCTGCTGCGGCTGGAGGGGGGCGGGTCGGTGCCCTGCGTTCCCCGCGCCCTGCCCTGGTGGCGCTGTCAGTGGCCCAGGTGCCGGGGTGGGCGGTGGATCGCCGTGGAGAGCCGGGCGCTCTGTTCCGAGGAGAGGGGCTCGGGGTGAGCCAAGCGCTCGACCCCCGGCTCAGCGATGGGTGACAAGGGGAGGGGGGTGGTATCCCCAAGGCGGGGAGCCAGGGGATCTGCGCCTGGCGGAGGGGGGCCCAGCGTGCTTTGCTCTAGGGAGCGAGAGGGTCTCATACGTGCGCTCTGCTTCGGGGACAGGGCTGGGGAAGGGGACGCCCTGCCCCGGTGGTAGGGTCTGGGCGCTCTGCGCCGGGGCTAGGGGTAGGAGTGGAAGAGGGAACGGAACCTTCTTCGGCACCTTTAGCCTCTTGCCCTGGCCTTTGCTGGGGGCAGCGCCCTGGCTCCCCTTCCTTCGGCAGGGCACCCAGCGTGACCGAGGTTTGGAGCGGATCAGGGCTGGTCTTGTCTCTGATGCGCCCTCTCTGCTCCCTTCCCCCGCAGGGTCAGCTCGGGCTGCGGGCCGCTGTGCCAGAGCGGGGGCGGCTCCTTGGCTGGACTGTGGGGTTCCTGGCCGTGCCCGAAGCCCTTCACCTCCTGCCTTCAAGCTCAGGGAGGAGGCGGATTTTCTTCAGCGTGGCTCCGCTCCCCTCGCTGCCGCCCAGAGATGGTGGGCCACCTGCACCTGCAAGGAATGGAAGAGAGTCTGAAAGAGAAGAGCCGGGAGGGCCTGCTGGACAGTCCGGATTCCGGGCTGCCTCCCAGCCCGAGCCCCCCTTTCTACACCTTGGCTCCCGGGATCATCGAGGGCAGAGCCGGGGGCAGCAGCAGGGGGACGGATCACCCAGGACATGAGCCCAGAAAGGAAATCAAGGAAGGCAAAGTGGTAAGAGCCTTTCCTGGCGCCCTGGGGCCCTACAGCTTCCTCCCAAGGGTGAGAGGCTGGGATGGTTCCTGTTCCTAGCTCCTCAGGGGTTTAAGTGGGGAACTGTCTCCATCTTTCATTGGGGACCACCCCTTATGCCACATCAGGAGGCTTTTGTTCTGAGATCTGCCCCAGAGAGTTTACAATCCAAATAGACAAGAGGGACAAAGGGTGGGAGGAAGAAAGGGCTTTTATAGGCGCCTGTTCGGGTGTCAGAGGCAGGCAGGGAATGAGAAGAGTAACTCAGACCCAAACCAGGATTCCAGTAGCCTCCAGCATTGGGGGGGTAGGTGTTTAAAATCCAAACCTGCATTTAGGTTTCACAAATGGACCCTCTTATAAACCCAACCCCTTGCACCTCAGGGTGACCTGGATGTGGTCTCCAGTGAGGAGTGAGACTCCCTCATGATAAATCCCTCTCTTCATCCAGGCTTCATGAGATGGGATGGGCCACTGGTGACCCCAGAGGCAAAACATTAAAAGGCTCTTACAGAGCACTTCATGGGTTAATCCTCCCTGAAGACAGCTACACTTCAACTCTGGAACCCCTGCTCCAGCTTCAAACCGTGGAAGCAGCCAGCAGCCTAGTTCCTTACTGTACTGTTAGGACTGGCTGGCAAAGGTTTGACCCCTGGTGGAGAATCAGTGACAGAGTTCAGGGGGGTCTGGGGACATTCAGAGCCCCCATCACTTCCCGGTGGTGAATTATTTGCAGTTTGGAGTGGGAGCTGGAGGATAAATCACAGTAAGCGTTTGCTATTTAAAACACATCAGACACATGCTTCAATTTCCAGTGTAAAGAAAGAAAGAAGAAATCAGTCTAGCTCAGTGGCTCTCAACCTTTCCAGATTACTGTACCCCTTTCAGGCATCTGATTTGTCTTGCGTACCCCAAGTTTCACCTCAAGCTACTTGCTTACAAAATCAGACATGAAAATACAAAAGTGTCACAGCACATTATTACTCAAAACTTGCTGACTTTCTCAGTTTACTACCTAATTATAAAATAAGTCAATTGGAATATGAATCTTGTACTTACATTTCAGTGTATAGTATATAAAGCAGTATAAACAAGTCATTGTCTGTATGAAATTTTAGTTTGTCCTGACTTTGCTAGTGCTTGTTATGTAGCCTGTTGTAAAACTAGGCAAATATCTAGATGAGCTGATGTATCCCCTGGCCACCCTCTGCATACCCTCAGGGGCACGTGTACCCCTAGTTAAGAACCACTGGCCTGGGTGACATGGTTCTGTGTAGTAAGAGAGAGTACAAGGCTGCTTAATGCAATGCTACATGGGGCTAAGTCTGAGGTTGTGACTAGACATACCAGAGCTGGCTTCTCAGCTATGCTGAAATGATTTCATTCCAAATCAGTCCGATTGGTTTGTGAGCATGGAGCAACAGTGTTACAGTCATTTCTGCTCTGAATGTGGAACAGTGCACTATTCAGAACCGTTTATGTACATGTGTCAGGGCCGTTGGTATCAGAGACAAGATTTGGAAAGGTTCATGTTCTCTTCCAAAGGATGAAGTTGTTTTTGCTTGAGAGGTGGCTCTGTGCTGCTGCTGTTTGCCTGAATCGTGCTTCAGAGAGTGATGCTGTTTGAAGTCATGCACGGTATGGCTGAACAGTACAGCTCTATTGGTTTTCAGGATTGAACTCCTGGCAGCAGCTATATAGATAGAAGCCGGATTCTGATCATCTTGACAAAGGGTCTGTGAAGTGTTTGAGGGTGGAGACGGATTTAAGCAGATTCATTATGACTTTTGTTCTGCTTCATTTTGTCAATTTCAGTCTCTAAGGTGCCACAAGTACTCCTTTTCTTTTTGCGAATCTGTTGCATTATAAATTGCTTTTAAAGACCGAGGTTTAGGAGGATTTTCTGGAGGGAAGGATTTTGCCCAAGGTTCTTTCAAACATTTTTTCTGTTAAAAAACAAACATTTTTTGATGTATTCAACCACATATTTAATTGGCTTAAATACAGAGTAAAAACTTTCTGCAGCACAGAGACATTAGCTCTCCATAGGAAAGAATTATACTTTATGAATTTCAGTTACCACTCTACTCCCTTCTTCCCCCTGTGCAGATTTGCACTGAAAGTTCACCTTCGTTTCAGTTTTCAGGTTCTCAGGATGTGTTTAACATTTTATTGAAAACTGTCTTTTATACCTTAATATGCCAAAGTCCTCACACGAGCACTAACTGTTGCTCACCAAAGTAAGAGGGTGGGTTTTAATTAAAAAAAACAAATTCATAAAGTAAATATTGAGGTACCACACTTAGTAGCTCATCCCCCATGTGAGTAATTTTACACTAACATTTTCATTAACTTCAGGGGCGTACCTACTTGCATAACCCCGTGCCTAAGACTTTGCAGGATCGGGTCCTTGTTATGCAGTCATAAAATGAAATGTGTGAGGAGGGATTAATGAAGGTGTGTTGGACCAAAATACAGCTAGAAACCTGTATAAAACTCTACAACAGAGTCAGATGAGCTGCCATGAAGATAGTTATCAGACCGAGTACACTCTTAGGTCAGCCCCTCCGAAAAGGAGATTGTACAGAATAACACCTTACTTATCAGGGACCAAATTCAACCTTGGTATAAGTGGGTACAAATAATGGAATAGTGGAATACTCTGGATGAATTTACCCCAGGGTCTTACTTCTTGACTTCTGTAGAATAAATATTTCTAAGGTTTATGGAAAAACAAAATTCTATTGTCCAGCTATTTCTTTGATTTTGGACACACATGGATGTTAGGCAGCATTTTGAGAGGTTAATGTTATAATTGTTTGCCAACTGGACACCACATTACAGCCATGTTAGCTGTGAGCCCTTGCTGTTAGGATGTAGGCTTGTTATGTGGTGGATGCTTTTGTGCTCTAGTAGGTGTAGAAGAAACACAGACCCACTCATATAAAAAGCAATCTTATGTTCAAATATGGAGGAGGAAGCAATGCAAATGCTTGAGACATGGGACTGTACCATAAGTGGAGATTTACTCTAAACAGACTTGCAGTTGGCACACTGCAAAATGGTGAAATAAGTTATTTATTAGTTGTAGGGGACTATCATTCTACTTTTCTATAAATGGAATTTCGTTCCATCTAATTTCCACTCTGCAAATACTGTGCTTGCACTTGGTTCTGTTACGAAAGTAAAACTATGGAAAATGATGCTTGCGTCATACTATTAAATGTCAGCTTCTAATTAGCTTTCATCTCACCATTTAAGGAGAACTCACAGATCTGTGAGTAATTATGCAGTCCATGAATTTGTGCTCCTGTTTTAATTGCCTGCTCTTTGCAGTTTATCAGAGAGCATGCGCAATTGGTGAATCAACAATTAATGCTATTTTCAGACTAAATCATGCGTGTTTAGCGCCTATTATATTATTATTTGTGGTATTTACACATGAGATAGAGCTGAGAACAGTCTGTGCTATAATACAGTAAAATATGTGTAAGCTATATTCCTAATATCCAAAAATCTATCAGGTACAGTTACAATAAGTCTAGTTGTACCTGGAAAAATAGTTGGGAAATATTTCATGGCATTTCTTATTACAGTATTATCAAAATCTCCCATTTTAATCTTGCTGGGGTTCAGCTATTTTGTTCCAGCTTTAAAGGTAGGTTTAAGAATTTCTCTAGCTCTGGGATAATTCTTGACATACATACTGAAATGATCTTGTATGTACTTCCCAGGGACATTCTTCTGTTTACAGTCCACATTCCCTGTGTTTGGTGTGATTAACTTTAACTATAAAAATGAAAACTCTTCTTTTTTTAATAAGCCAGACTTTGTTTTGAAGACAATGCACCATTTATTCACATTTAACCAGCCAATTTGGCTACAGCTTTGGGATCCAAGAAAATATGAAAGGCAATTTAGAGCCAGAGTAATAAATACCGCAAGCTCAACACCATTATATTAGACTTTGCTTGGAATACAGGGGAACTTACTTTTAATTCTCCCAAGTAAGCCATATGTTGGGGATTCTTCAGCTGCTTTGTGCATAAGGGCAAGAGACCCTATGAGAAGTTATAGCCTAGAAATACAAAGTGACTTTTAGCTATCTTTTAAATTTAAAAGATGACAATTTTTAATTTTTATTCTCAAGCACCTTGAAACTTATGTTACAAAGCATCCCATACATTTTATTAGAAAGACAAGGTAAAGGTTGTATGTATGGCTAGGCAGTAAGGAAGACCCCTAACATTAGCTGCAAGAACAAGCATACGTTAACAGCTTTCACAAGAAACCAGCTGCTAGAATGAAGTGGACAGGGATCAAGGGGCAGATTCTCAGACTTCAGTGTAGTTGCCCCCGCAGAGAATTTACTCCTAAGATTGTCCAGGAATATAGTTTTGATGCGGAGGGTCCAATTCTCAGCTCACCGACATAGCTCCGTTGTTTTCAGTGGATTTACACCAGTGGAGATGAGATCAGAATCAGGCTCAAAGGTTCTCTGCTCAGAACTTACTTGTGGGTTTACTGTTTACAACTTTAAAAAATGTTCCTGGGTTGTACTTGCCATCAGCGCGGAGCTGCATAAGGTACACGGGGACTCTGGCGGCTTTGGGGTCCCAAAAAGGGACAGCAAGAAGATGCCAGGATTTTCTGGGGGAGGGAGAGTTGCTAGAGAAATATGTGGTATGCAGCTGGGAGTCGTCCCCCTCCCCGCACAGACCCACAATCCACAGCTATCTCAGAGGGCCCAGAAATTCTGTCCCCAAAGGAGGGAAAGTGCGGAGATTCCGGTGCTGAATCATTTGCTCACATTAACATAAAACAAAGAAACAGAAATGGGCCCTGATCAGAGCTCATATGTGGTGTTAGGGCATGGGGGATGGTGAAAGACAGAGGATGAAAACAGGGAAGAATATGGGTGGTTAAACCACAAGGTTGGGAGTCAGGAATTGTCACTCTGGTCCAGTCCCAGACCCATCGTA